TAGTATATTTTGACGTAGGGTATTGTGACGCCTCCAGCTTGAATATTTTTGCTTAGGATATCTTTAGCTATTCTGGGTCTTTTTTGAGTCCATATGAAGATTAGAATTTTTTATTTTCTAATTCTATAAACAATAGCATTGTTATTTTGAAAATGATTGCATTGAATCTGTGAATTTCTTTAGGTAATATAGACAGTTTTACTTTTATTAATTCTTCCAATCCATAAGCAAGGAACATATTTCCATTTTTTTGTGTCCTTGATGATTTATTTCATCAATGTTTTATAATTTGCATCATGGAGATCTTCTACTTCTTTAGTTAAATTTATTCCCTAACATTTGATTGTATTGTGGCTAATTTGAATGGGATTTCTATCTCGATTTGTCTTTCAGGGAGTTCATCATTAGCATATAAAAATCTACTGTTTATTTTGTAACCTGCAACTGAAAAGGTTTATCAGTTCTAACAACTTTTTGGTGGAGTTTAGGCTTTTCCTTGTTCATATCATGTTACCTGCATATTTGGATATTTTGACTTCCTCCTTTCCAATTTTAATGTCCTTTATTTATTTCTTCTCCATAATTGTTCTAACTAAAACTTTCAATACTTTTTTGAATAAGAGAGGTGAAAGTTAATATGTTTGTCTTATTCCAGATCTGAGGAGAAATGCTTTCAGCTTTTTCTCTCTCAGTACAATGGCTATTGGTCTTACAGGTAAGTTTCCAGACCACAAAGGAATAAAACTAGAAATCAACACCAATAAGAACAATAGAACACTTATGATTATATAAAAATTAAATAGTGTGCTACTGAATGACCAATGCTTCATTGAAGAAATTAAAAAGGAAATCAAAAACCTTCTTGAAATAATGAAAATTAGAACACAATATGTCAAAACTTGTGGGAAAGACTAAAGCAGTATTAAAAGAGAAGTTTCTAGCATCAAATGTTTCACTTAAAAAAGATAATGTCTCAAAAGATCTAATGATGCATCTCGAGGACTTAGAGAAACCAGAACAAATCAAACCTCAAATTAGCATGAGGTGACATATAATAAAGAACAGAGTGGAAAAAATGAAATTGAAACTAATATACATATCAAGATATTTTGGAGAAGACAAACAAGATAGACAAACCTCTAGCTAGAATAACAAAGAAAAAAGACAAACAACTCAAATAAAATTAGAGATGAAATAGGAGACATTACAAATGACACAACTGAAATATAAAGGTTCATTAGAAACTACTGTGAAAAAAAAAAAACTATCCTGACAAACTGGAATACCTCCAATAAGTGAATACATTAACCTGCCAAAATTAAATCAAGAAAATTTAGAAAATCTAAACAGACCCATAACAAGTAGCAAGATTGAGGGTGTAATTAAAAGTTTTCCATTAAGGAACGTCCAGGATTTGATGGCTTACTACTGAATTTTTCAAAACATTTAAAGAGGAACTAATTCCAATACTTTTCAAAGTATTCCAAAGTATTGAACTGGATGGAGCTCTATCAAACTCTTTATGAGGCCAGCATCACTCTAATATAAAATCTGAATAGAGACACAGCACAAAAACTTCAGATCAGGATCCTTGAAGGACAAAGGTGCCAAAATCCTTAACGAATTACTACCAAACCTAATGTAAAACTGCATCAAAGAGATCATATACCATGATCAAGGGGAATTTATTCCAGAAATGCAAGAGTGGTTCAACATTTGCACATCAGTAAATGTCACAAACCACATCAACAGAATGAACAACAAAAACCTTATGGTCATCTCACTAGATATGGAGAAAACATTTGCTGAGATTCAACATCCTTCATGATAAAAAACCAACCAACCAACCAACCAAAACCAAAACCAAAACTCCACAAATTAGGTATAGAAGGAACCTAACTCAAAATTATAAAGGCTATGTAGGACAAACCAACAGTCCAGAGCTTTTATCACCATGCAATACAACCTCTTCAATCGAGGGTCTACTTACTCTTTAATTTGTTGAGAAAAAGTTGATATATCCTATCTACTAGTAGAGTTTTATCTAATAATTAGAAATAAATTTTTCCTGATTGTGTTCTAACTGCCTGTCCCTGAAAAAAGGGATACAACTGTTTGTGTACAGAACATTCTGGGCCAAGAACTGCAAATCAAGAAGTTAGTCTGAAGACAAGGAAAGTAATTATGGAAATCTATGTTGGCAGGTGCTTTCCATCCATGGTTTACTTCTTGGAGTCCAGCATTGTTTAAGTCCAGGCTTCCTCAGTTGTAAATGACAGGATTCTCACTTAAACAAACTTAAAGAAGAAAAAGAAATATATTGGCTTGAATAGAGGCAGAGCCACCCTGTGACATAACAGGATTCTACGGCATTTCCAAAAGCATTTTTTCTCTCCACTTCTCAGCAATGGTTCTGTTACACTGAAGGCAGGATAATCACTGACAACCCTATCTACATCGATCTTCACTGTTCTCCATATGACACACCTCAGGGAAAAACTCTGGTTGGAAATATTAAGGACCCTTTTTGACCACTCATATCAATCACTGCATGTGGGGAGAACAGGTGCTATCATAAACTTAGCAAAGGTCATGTCTCCCTCCAAGGGAGAGAAGAGGAGCATACATTTGATTGCCACACTGAGAATCATAGTGTGAAATGATAGTTTCTCTAAGGAAGGGATTCTTGCTTAAGAAAACATGTTCACTTGAGATACAAAATAAAGACCCCTCACTCAGCAACCTCGAAGCCAAAACAGATGCATCCTCTCAAGTTCTTCAACATCCATAGTGCTGCTTTACCAATTGACTTCCTTCCAGTTTTACTGAATGGCCGACTTTTGAAAAATATGGCTAACGAGGAGAACTTGTGGCATTTCTCCAGCTCAATCGCTCTCTTCTTGCTTTTGGAAGAATCTTCAGCAGTAGCTCCATTTCCATTCTCCTATCTCCCCCTGAGCATCTCCACTGTTCCCCTAATGCCGCTCAGGTTCCTTGAACTTCCCCTCAGGAGTGTCCAACCCTGACAGTGGTAATAGTTTCCTACTAGTAGCTACCATCATCCTCTATTCGGCTTTTCACTTGTTCTAACCCTTTGTAATTAGCTTCCCCATACTAAATCCCCTCAACTGAACTTAAAAAAAAGGGGGGGGGGCATTCTTTTTCTAACAGAACTCTGGCTAAGATGGCCATGTGTTGAGAGACTCTCCATACAAGTTTCAGGTTCCTCATACTGCAAGGCAGAATCTGGTTGACTTAACTAACCACTAAGGTAGCGGAAGCCATGGGTTACAAAGTGTGGGTAGGCAGATTGGTTTTCAGTGCCGAAGTTAAAATGAGAAAAATGGATTGATGTAGACCAGAACTCTGAAACGACAGCATGTGAGTTATGTGTCAAATAGCACAGAACCAAACACTCAATAATTGGACTGTGCAGGGCTGAAGAGAGGCTCTTACTGCGCAATTGCACATGTGTGCCAGGCCATGAATGGCAGCTGCTAACAGTGTAGCAGACTTCCCACTCCTGCTCTCTCTCCACATACTGCATATTATTTCCCAGTCTCCTAAGACTTCCTCCTAAACAGACTACCTTCTGAGGAGGAGCCCTAATTCCCTAACCTCCTTGTTACTGGGTGTGCCCTCATGTTTCCAACCTCATTCAAACATCACTAGGACACTTGAAAAAGTGAGGTGGAGGCCAGCAGGACACAAAGTGTGGGGTGTGACTGTGGAAGTTAAGGTTTCACATCCTACTCTATCAGGCTTTCTTATCTTTGTAGCTTCTATTAATTGGGTTTCTTTTTCCATCTGAAAACTGAGGAAGTTGAACCAATGCCTAAGAAATCAGCTGTGATGTTCCATATTCTGTGTCTCATTTAAGTGGCAAAACCAGATGGCACCTGCTGTTTCATCAGCACTGTTGAAACTGTGTGGCCACACCTCACTACCTTGGCTGACCTTGAAAACATCTTGTCAGTACTCCCTACAAACACCTGATGTAATTTAAGGTTGCTTCTTACTAGTCTTAATAAAGTGCTGCTCTTTGTGAGGATTCCATAGTAAGGGATCATCTGATTTCTTGGTTGTCATTTCACTTTCAAAAGCGTTTATGAGGTGACTTCTTACATGGTGACATAGTAAGCTGTTTTCTGCGTGTTCTTATTTGTTGTGTCATTTTCCTTTTTCCTCAAAGACCGTAAGAGAGAGGTAGCATGGCCATTTTTAGTCCTCTTCTGGCACATTTAATGCACGGGGATTTACATGGCATGAACTGTCTTCTAGAATGTGAAGTCTCTGAAGGCAGGGATCTTCTTTCCCGGGGGTGGGGAGTGCTAGCATCTGTTACATGCACTGATATTTCCACAGTGCCTAGAACAGCAGCCGATGCACCGCAGATCTCAGTAAATACTAGTTGAATGAACAATCTGATTAGTGACAGCTGGGTCTAGAATTCTCTGCGTCTCAGCCATTGCTCCTTTAGCGCTGACAGCAGTTGTCCTCTGTCCGCGTGCTTTCTTAGTTTTCTTTCGTTGATTCTTCCTGGATGCACCTGTCTTAGGTTTCTGGCTGCAAGGCCAGGGAGCTTCCTCCACTGAAGGGTCCCTGGAAGACAGCCCCCCACCCCCGCCCCCTTACAGGCATACAGGGTAGGAAAGGAAGGGCGTCCAAGGTGGGCTCTTTGGTGACACTACCGCTATGGCCCCTGATTTCCAAGGCCCTTAGAGAAGGGGGTCTCGCTGGTGGGGGCTGGGGCACCGGCCCAGCGTCCGTGGGCGGGGCTCCCGGAGGCGGGCTACCTCGCTGTCCCCGCGGGGCGGCCGGCTGGCTGCGGCAGGAGGCGGGGCGCCGCGCTCCCCCTCCCGGACACTGCGGCGGTGGCAGCGCCAGCCGGGCCTCAGCCGCCGACCGGCTCGCAGAGTCCGGCGGGCCCAGCGCGGGGCGGGGAGGAAGGGCCGGGGCGGGGCGGCGGCGCTGGGAGCCGGCGGCTGGGGCGCCGCGCTCAGACTGGGCGGGCGCGCGGGCTGCGCGGGCTCACGGCGGCGGCGGCGGCGGCGGCGGCGGCAGCAGCAGCATCCTCCCCTCTCCCTTCCCTTGCATTCTGCTCCTGCCGCTTCCCTCTCCTTCGTTCCCTCCCCCTTCTTCTCCCGCCCCGTTCTCCCCTCCACTCCTCCTGAGTGCATTCGCTCTCGCAGGTCCGTGAGCCGTGGCAGCCGCGACCGCGGGTGCGCCCAGTTCTGCGCTCAGGTAAGAGATTGTCCCCATCTCCTACTCTTAGAACGCCTCTCCTGTCTCCTGTGTGCGCGGAGGGAGCCCCAGCCCGGGATGAGAGGTGGCAGTGGGTAGCGGGTTGTCCGCAGCTCTCGGACTGGAGAGCTGGCACAGGTCGGCCGAGCTGTCCCGTCTCCCACCTGACGGAAGCGCCTGGCCGGACCTCTCCAAGTGTCCCGGGTCCGGGCATTGGTACCTGGGCTCTCGGCTTGTCTTGAGAAGCCAGTGATCTTATTAGGTACCAGGTTGAAACGCCTGGAAACTCACATTGGATAAGGATACATGTTTGAGCGCTAGCATTACCTGAGCCTTAGAAAACAGGGGAGGAGATTGTACGACGAAAATAGAAAACAAAAAACCTCGAGGTAGAGGCTTTTTAAAAAGCATTAGCTGCAGAGAACCTCACTGGACTGTGTGTGAGAGAAGCTTTGTCCATTGCAAACTATATCCCCCTCTGTCAGTCCTCCAGAGACAGCTGAGAGGAAGACGAATAAATATTTATAATTTTAGGAAAATGAAGAAGTCAGTGTGATGGTGTAGGAGGGTGGGGCACGGAGAAAATGAGTCTGCTTTAGCCTGAGCTCCCACATCGTCTTTCTTTCTTTCTCCTCTATAACCGTAGAGGTAGAACCCTACATTCGCGGTCCCTCAACTCTTTTTCTTGTTAAAAGGTTTTTTTTGGGGGGGGGGTTGGGGGGACCACAGCGCAGGCTTCCTTCCCTTCCCAACCTCGCCTTTTGTTTAAGGATGGAAATTTCAAGAAACAGCGCGTGGGGGACCAGGAGGGAGGAGGTGTGTGTTTGGGTGTGTGTGGTGGGGGAGGGGTAGCAAAGCTGATGGAGTAGGGGAGATACACCATCCTTGAAAACGGAAAATTCATGTTTTTCTGCTGGGCACCGGGCCTCCAGGACTTAGAAAATAGAAAGCTTTGATAACAGCAAGGCCGTTTAAGACAGTTACTGTGTACCTTTTGCCTTAAGCCCTTAGTAGAATGCTTCCAGTTCATAGACCTTTTCAAAACCGAATTGGTGTGAAGGGGTTCTGTTTCAATGAACACACACACACCCACACACACACACACACACGTATACACACGTATCATGTACTATGTACATCTTCCAAAAGGGAGTTGATTCTTAAAAGACAAATCTTTTGAAATTTCTCTGAGGATTTGAGGACTATACTGTGAATGAAAGCTGTAGCGAAAAATTAACTGAATATTGCTGGTGGTATATAAGCCTGGATGTGAGGCAAAGGGGCTGGCTGGTCAGAGTTGGGAAGGAACTAGGTTAAATGTTAAAGATATAATTTATTGAAAAATGATCAGCCTGAGAGGAAATGACTGCAAACTGAAATTGAGGTTTGCAGCCACAGTGAGGCGATGGAGAACAAAGCCTTTTATGTGAGCCACATTATGCAAAATGTCCCATACATGAGCTGTAGGTACCAGCCCAGTTTAAAAGCATAGCTCTGTCACTCAGTCATGTCACTGTGGGCAATTTAGGATATTTTTGGCAGTCAGAATAGATTAAGCAAATAGAAACCATTTAGATCACTTTTGATGTTATGCCTAAGAGGAAGATTGGTCTTCCAACTGAATGTAAAAAAATACACCCTTTAACTGAGTAATAACTATCTGTATTTTAGTAGAATTCTTCTCAATTTATAAGTCACAGGTGTTTCAATCAACCTCCATGTACAGAAAGCAAATCCCCTTCAAGAAAAGGTAAAAGGCGTTTTTTTTCTTCAATAAAGAGCATTGTGTTTGTGCATGTGTGTACATGAGAATTAACATGGATTTCCTGGAGTCTTTATCTGATTATCATAGATTTATATCTGCATTCTTGGTTTATGTACTATCAGAGCCATTGTGGTTTTAGAATCAGGGGCACATGCTGTTTATAGTTAATTCTTTTATACTTCATAGGTTGGTATAATATTTAATTTCTAAAGCTTTTGTTTTTTTAATCAGCAAGTGGATAATTATCTATGTAGAGCGTCAAGAATTTTAAAAACTGAGGTCTCTTTCTAAAACATAACAAATTATAATCCTTTTTATTTTCTCTGTTATTCTGTTCATTTTTACCCTCTTATCAAACCCGTTGGTTCCTGGCTGGGCCTCTGCTGCCTTAGGCATCTAGTTCTGTCTAGACGCCCAGAAGCAGAGCCTGTGTTCTCAGGAATTTTGACTGTAGGATGTGTTCATTCTCTGCAGCAGCTCTTTCAGGATGACTTGTTTACAGCACCTTGTCAGGGAGGAGAGGCAAGAGGAATGTGCTGAGAGAGCATGACCCAGTGAAACTGGCACAGCCATTACCTCATCCTAGTAGGTACTTCAGATTCATTGAAAGAGCAGGCATCCTCTCAGTGGAAACCAGACACCAAGAGCACACCCATTTCAGGGCAAAAGCCTTTCTTTTCCCATAGCAGCCTCTACTAATGTTGTTCTCCTGAGGCTAAGGGGATATTTTCTCTTTTATGTGTTTCTTTGCAGGGATCTTGAACTTGGTCAGAAGTATGCAGCCAGAAATGAAACTTGGCACAGAATACGCTAAGCCTGAAGGAACAATTTCATTCCTTTACTCCTTTTGGTTTAAACCAATTTGCAAATTTTTCTGAATGTCCAAAGGGAAAAGGAAGGAAAATGCTTGTTGATGTATTTTTGCATATTTTTGTGTGAACATGCGTATTTTGTGTTGGATTTTACTAACAATTAGATATTAGACTGAACTACTATACTTTTGACAAATATAGTTGCACTATTGGCATTTAAAATTAAGTAGTTGTTAAATTTGGTTAGATGGTTACTTCATAATATCTGCATCTCTAAATGATTCATTCATGGCCATGTGAGACTGACTCTGTGAAACTGACTTGGGGGTTTAGTATTCATGTGGCTAACTGATTACTGAATTCTTTTCAGTACTTAACTTCCTCTTGACAGATGAAAGTAAAGAATCTGAAGTAACAGTTACCTGCAGGATAGCACCACTCCCAGATCAATAGTACACTCCTTAATACTAACAGTTGTCACTTAGGCAAGTCATTAATTAATAAATGCATGAGCCTGTGGGTCACAATTTTGGAGAAATCACAGTTTCTTTTGTCTCTGATATATATCGGTTAAACACGCTAATAATCTTCAGTGTTAGCTCTCTTTGCTACTTTAATTCTGTATCTTTGCTGTTATTATTGCCTTGTTCTACTCAATGTAAGTCTCTTCATCTAAGGGCAGTATTTTGATCATTTTCTCACATTTTTACCCTCTCATTCCATTATTTTAATTTGATATTCGAGTGGTAGATGTCCTGATCTCCAGATCTTTGGTTTTAATGTTGTTACTCTTGATAGAAATTTGACCTTTACTTTCATTTAGGACAGCATTCATTCTTATTCAGTTATTCATGATGAGAAACAACATTTGATATTCTCAAAGAATTATCTTTCCTAGGAATTGACTCGAGGAACCAACAGCAGTTAAAGAATATCAAATGAATCTGTGTTACAGAAAATTAAGGGAAAGGGTCTGTGTGAAAGTTTGGGTGGGTGGGCGGAGGGAGAGAGGGGAGGAGTGCAAGCAGCTGTTAATAGTTGTCCATGTAGCATGGCGATGAGGCTTTGTCTCAGTGGGTGGAGAAGGAAGAAATCTGTTTTAGTTTTCTTATTTCTATTTTTATATAAACACTTCACGTATTTATGGGGTACCATGTGCTGTTTCAGTCTATGTGTACATTGAGCTATTTTGTTTTTCAACATAATGTTTTATCCCCATCCCTCTCATGTCTTACATTCAACTAAGGCTGTGGGTTCTCCTTTGTAAAAATTATACAGGATGTTTTTTTGGAAGCAGTTCTGTAGTGAATTAGAAATTTTAAAACAATGTGAATACAATTAGTTGACTTTTTATGTAAAAACATTAAACCTAATTTTTGAACTTTGATCTTTCCTGTTCAATAGGTACACTTTCCTTTGGTGTTATTTTAACAATGATTCTTTTACTTATACATTTTAATAGAATTGTGTGAAGTTTTAGAAAAAATAAAGAGCACAGGATCCTCTTTCAGTCTATGATTCGGTTCACATTGTAGATATTAGGAAAATTTTCAGCAAATTGTTTTCTACCAGAACATAAACTAGAGGGAGCAAATTCCTTTTTTATTTTTGTTATGATAATAAATTACTTATGATAATAAATCATTTAGAGCAAATAATGTACTTTTTAAAAGCATTATTTATTTTATTTGAAAGACAGGGAGACAGAGATATGGACATTGGGACAGAGACAGGAGAAAGAGAGAGAGAGAGAGAGAGAGAGAGAGGGAGGAATGGATCTCCTGCTGTACTTCCCAAATGCCCATGAGAGCCAGGACTAGGCCTGGCCAAAGCCAAGAGCCGAGAATCAATCCAGGGTTTGCAGTTGGGTGGCAGGAACCAGGTACTTAGACCATCATTAGGTTAGCTGAAGGCTCTACATTTGCAGAGGCTAAGCACAAAGCCAGGAATCCAAGCTCATTTTATATGGGATGCAGGGATCTTCACCTGTAGGTCAAACAGCTACCTTTCCTTTTTTTTAATTTGCACTGTCAAAAAGTCATGTTAGAAAATGAAAATAGAGCCTGATATTTTTTATTGAAAGTTATTTTCCATTATGTCTGTATTTCTTATTTACCATACGGTTTTACACAAATTTATCCTCCTTTTCAAGGCTCCACCTCTATCTTAATCTTGCCTCTGAACTTACTTACCTTATCTCCTAGGCTTGAAGGATCCTTGTATGTCAATCTTTGATCATGCTACCTACCTCAAAAAGACTTTTTCAAATCAGGAAGAAAAGCTGTTCCCTTCTTTGACCCCATTAATAAATGTCCAAGTTTATCCAAGTTTTCCTGCTCATTTGAATTATACTCTTAGCAGCCATCTTTATATTACTTTTCCAACATTCTGCAGGCAAAAACAGTACATCTACACAACTAATT